ATCTCCAAATTCAAATCAAGAATCAAATAGAGAGAGAAAAGACAAATGCCCCAATTAGGGGTAAAACCCCTAAGGGTTAGAGAGAGAAACCAAATTCTACTCCAATCTCAACGTATATTCTTTATTCCAAAAAGTACAAATGGGTATTACATCCACTAGTTAGAAATAATTGTTACCAAGTATTGAGTTTTACTAAAAGTATTTACTAAAAGTAAACTCTGAGTTTATAATATGTTAACTGGTGCCCTTGTATTTCTTTGCCTAATTGCAACAGCCTTGCCAAAAAGACTCTCAGCCTTCATATAAATACTCATCTCATTAGTGATCAAATCTTGAACAGTGACATCCGGGACCAACCTTTGCATGCATTCATAAAACCCATTCATCACTTCATGATCTCTTTGCACCTCTAATGCTTTTGGGTAAAAGAATTCTGGGTTAAGAAAATGTGCAGCTGCATGTAAAGGTCGATGCAATTGAACATCCCATCTTTTGTCAATGATTTCGAAGATTTCATTATACTTCTCTTCTTTATGATCAAATGAACTTGCAATGCATTCTTTTGCCCTATCCATTGCCTCATAAATGTATCCCATGGGAGGTTTCTTCTCGGTATCAACCAATCTAAGCACTTTGACAAGAGGACCCGAGCCTTAAGGGCAAACACAACAGTATTCCAAAATGAAGGCATCAACAAAGTTTGTGCCATTCTTTTGCCTTGTGGCTCCTTTGCTTATTTGCTTGAGGTCCAGTCTTCAGAGGTCACCATCTTTCTCAAATTGTTTTTTTGTTGATGCATTCTAGACAAAGTCAAAAAGGCGGTTGCAAATCTAGTTTTTACATGCTTGATCAAATTCTTCAAATTTGTATAGCGACTCATCATGTTTAGCAACGTAGGCCGATTGTAAATGTAGCCATGTACTGCAATACCCCTTTCAAATGTCTTTTTTGGTCTAGGTATCTTGAAAATGTCTTCTAACATCAAGTCTAAACAATGAGCAGCACATGGTGTCCAATACAAGTGTTCATACTTAGCTTCCAAAAACCTCCCTATAATATAACAATAACGAAGAATTATTATTTTCAAGTTTTTAAATTTTAAATACAAAACAAAATATGAGTAAATAATTTTGATGTAAGGAATGTGGAAATATTCTTACCCGCCAACACATTAGCTGCAGCACTATCAGTGATAACTTGCACCACATTCTCTTTTCCAACTTTCTCCACAAACTTGTCTAGTAATTCAAATAGTTTTTACCCATCCTTTGAATAGCTAGAAGCATCAACCGACTCAACAAATATGGTTCCTCTTGGACAATTAACTAAAAAGTTAATCAATGTCCTTCCTCTCTTATCAGTCCAACCATCAGCCATTATGGAACACCCGTATTTTGCACAATCCTCTTTATGATACTTCATCAAATTTTCAGTATGTTTCACTTCTTTTTTGAGTTGGGTAACCCGCACTTCATGGTAAGTCGGTGGCTTCATACCAGGACCAAGGTTGTTAAGATCGGGATCCTACATAGGATCGTTTTGGGTGTCTGGAGGATCGGATCGTAGGATCGGATCGAGGATCGTAAGATCCTACTAAAACGATGAAAAAATGCAATAATTCTTATATGTCTAACTAATACTATCAAAATACATATAAAATGACCCAAAAAAACTTGAGAATGCAGCTCAAATGGTAGAGCTCTCATACTTATGAGCAGATCGAGGTTCAAATCCTCGCATTCTCACTTGGGCACTAACAATAATCAATTCAAATATACATTTTGCACATTTTTTTAAACAAAGAAAACATAATAAAGGAATGTGGCAATTCAAGTTGTCATTCAAACATTTTCCTCAAATCTTAACAAAAGAACATACTAAAAGAAAACAGCAATTCAACTTCAAGTTAACACTTGCACAACATTGATATCCTTAACAAAACAAACTAAAATAAGAGAAGAATAAATAAACAAGAGACTAAAATAAGTCATCATCTTCATCGCCGAAATCATCATTGCCACAATCAACAACATTGTCGATCTCATTGTCTCCCTCATCTTCATCATCACCCACAATGTCACCCAACTCCTCAATGTCATCATCACCAAAGTCATGATCAAAATCCCTTGGAGCATTCATGTTGTCATCCATATCATCATCATCACTTCATGAATTTCATCGACATTTTCTCCAATATGGTCACGGCCTAAGTTGGAGTAAAAAAAAAAAATCCAAATTAAATCCAAATTGCAACTTCTAATTAAAACTAAAAGATGTATCATGTACCTAGACTTACATGCTTGTTCCAAATCCCTTGCAAGAGCATCTACCTCCTCATCTTCTGAATGACATCCATGTCGAGCATTCCTATCAAGCACATGCAACCAATTTCCTTCTCTTGGAAGAGTTGGATTCTCTCTCTCTGTTATCCACTCATCGTCTGATGGAACATCATCCAAACATAATGGATTCATGATTGATTGTCTATTCTTGTGCCTTTGTCTCAGTTTCAAATTGTACATGACAAAGACCAAGTCATTCATTCTCTTTTGGTGTAAACGATTCCTCCGCTTTGAGTGTACCATCTAAAAAGCACTCCAATTGCGCTCACACCCCGATGAACTGCATGTTAGACTTAATACCCTGATTGCAAACCTCTTCAACTCAGGACATTCATCACCAAAAGAGTCCCACTAATCCCCTACATCGAAATTTTAATTAAGTAGTTCAAAATTTAAAGTTCTTCAAAACAAATAATCATAACATAAGATTGATACAACTTACAAATCAACTTAAGTTAGGGTAAAAATAAATAACCTGGAGATTTCTTTTTTCTAGTCAAGATTGCATTTTGTATACCAAAGAGTCCTCTTGCATTCTTGAATGCATCAATTTGCAAATCTATCTTCACCCTCTCATTAGTGTCAGGGACCATTTTTTCAAGACATTGTACAACCCAATTTTAATCTCTGCATCAGCTTGAAAATTGGGACTATAATGAAGCTGAGGGTTCAAGAAGTATGCTGCAGCATGCAATGGGTGATGGAGTTGGGTTTCCCATCTTCTATCAATGATGGCCCATATAGGATCATAGCTGACACAATTTAATAAATATTATTAATGAATAAATAAAAAGTTTAGGGAAATAGTATTGAAGAGTAAATAAATAGCCAACACTAAATAAAAAGTTTACCATCTTAGGACATTATTGAAATTCTTTTGAATTTCCTCTTTCGCACGATCCATTGCTTCATAAATGAATCCCATTGCCGGATGCTCATCTGAATCCACCAACCTAAGTACCTTAATGAGAGGTACTGTAGCCTTCAAGCAGGTAGAAACACCCTTCCAAAAATATCGATTGTCCAAAACAATATTTTCAATTTTTTTCCCCTTTTCAGACTTCGCAAATCTACTATTCCTCCACTTGTTTGATGTAAATAGAGAGAACAATGCACCTTTTTGCTCATGAAGACGTCTCAATGTCAAGTAAGAGGTAGCAAACCGAGTTACCGCAGGCCTTATAAGTTCAATGTCTTTTGTAAACTCCTTCATCCAATGAATAAGATTGGTTCTTGAATAAATGTATGCCACAATCTTTTTTCCTTTACCAATTGTAACACGATGAACTTGTATTTCCTTCTCAAAATCTTCTAACATCAAATCTATGCAATGGGCGGCACAAGGAGTCCAAAACAAGCCCTTTCTCTTATCCATTAACATTTGTCCCGCCAATTTATAATTAGAAGCATTGTCAGTTACAACCTGCACAACATTTTCTTCTCCAACCTTCTCAACAACCTCATCTAACATCTCAAAAACCTTTACACCCGTTTTTGAAATGTCGGATGTATCTAGTGATGACAAGAAAATAGTTCCATTAGGGCTATTCACAAGAAAATTACATATAGATCTTCTCTTTCTATCTGACCATCCATCCGACATAATTGTACATCCGGTCTTCTTCCATTGTTCCTTAAACTCATCAACCAATTGTAGTCTCATGCACTTCTTTTTTAAAAAATGTCACCCTAATTTCATGGTAAGATGGTGGCACAAGTCCTTTTCCATAATCCCCAATCTTCTTAACCATGAGTGGAAATATAGGGTTGTTGACACAATTAAAAGGAATAGCACTAGTGTAAAAAAAACGAGCTATGGTTTGACAAACATCATCTCTCTCTTCTTTCTTAAACATTTGATTGAGAGTTTTTTGATTTTGACGTCCAGATTTCTTCATCACAAATTTATCCATGGCACCCACCTGTTTTTGTTTGTTTTGATGATGACATGATAAAAGTTCCACCTCCTCTTCAGAATCATCACCAACATCAAACATCTTTCTCTTTTTATTTTGAGACTCTAATGTTTGAGTTCTTAAAAGACTCATGAACTTTCCTCTAACATCTTCTAGGACTTGAGGACATGGCTCAACATTTTGATGAGTACAAGCTAAATGATGTTTTAATCTATATATACCTCCCGATCGAGTCACATTACAATACTTGCATTGTACCTTTTTGGTTGCAGCATCTATTTCAATTCCATGTTCCCAACCAGGATCCGTTCGGTTACCCGCAACATTTTTCCTCTTCCTCTCTCTTCCAGAACCAGAGGCAGACATTGTTAACTCAATTCACAAACCTACAATCATATATTGAGTATCACTGAATCAATTGACTACAATTTACAATTTGATAGTTGTGAAATATCAGAGAGAAAAAAGTCAAGTTACAGTCAAAAATAAATTGATTACAATAGTAATACCATGATGCCCTACAAAGGCCTCATTGAAATTATAGATAAGGATAAATTAGAATTTAGAAGTTAATTTACAAATTACAAATGAAAGACTACATAATCATAAGCAACTTTAGCTTATGTTAATAAAAAGACAGAGCAAACATTGAATCAATTGTTACCAACATGAACACTAGGTAATCTAAAGTCATGTTACAAATTACAAATTAATTGAGAACAAACCTGTATGAAATGAAGCTGCACTTTTCCTTGGTGGTACACTGGTATCTGCGCAGTTTTCCTTGGTGGTATCTGCAAAAATAAATTACAAGTTAAAAATTAATTTAATTAGGTTGACAGGAAAATGGAAAAATGGAAGAAGTGGAAAAGGGGAATGAAGACAAAAAAATGGAAGAAGAGGGAAAAAAAAAGCAGTAGTAGAGGAAAAAGAAGATGGAGGAGAAGAAGAAAAGGAGTCGAAGAAGACGAATAGAGGAGAAGAAGGAGTCGAACAGTGGAGAAGAGAAGGAGTCGAAGCACAGAGAAGAAGAGAAGAATGAGTCAAACAGAGAAGAAGAAGAAGAAGACGAAGAGAAGACGAAGAAGACGAAACATACCTGGAGCTGGAATCTGGACTGGATAGAGGCTGGATGGAGGCCAGATGGAGGCTGCTCAGCTCTCGTGACCAACTTTCCCCCAATATTTTGCCCTAATCTTATGTCGTGGGTCTTTAGAAAAGAGATTAGGTGCATCAAACCTGTAATAAAAATATCAGTAAAAGGCCAAAAGTAGGATCGTATAGGATCGCGATCCAAATACGATCCTACGATCCCATGACCGATCCTAACGATCCTGTTCTGATCCTGAGCAAAATACGATTCATCATGCGATCTAGATTGATTCTCCAAAAGTGGATCGTAGGATCGTACGATCCTACGATCCGGATCGCGATTTTAACAACCTTGACCAGGACCATATTGGCCAATGGCTTCAATCATTGGTCCAAAACTCTCATAATTTACTGCATTGAAAGGGATACCAGCATCATACATCCACCTTGCAAATCTTTGCAGTGCCCGAGCTCTCATTTCTTTTTTGTAAGGGTCATTTGCATCAATTTTTGTTTGTTTCCCTTTTGCTTGGTCTCTTCGTTTTTTCACCATTGATTCAGGATTGGGTGTGAAGTAAACATCCATAGGCCCTTTTCTCTTTGGCATTTTTTATTTGGATTTGAATTTGGATGAACCTTGGCTACTACTTGTCAACTTGCGGTGTTGATTGACATTGATCTCAACAACATCATCACCTTCATCTTCATCTTCCATGTCCATGTCATCAAAATCAGGCAACATGTTCATTTCTTCTTTTTGTGTCTTTTTTTTGGACATAAATTCTCTAATCTCTTCTCTTACATGAGAAGGACACTTCGGGCAAGCAGTAACATTCCTATAACCTCCCGCAAGGTGTTGTTTCACCCGATAAACACCTCCATTTGATACTTTACCACAAAAATTACACTCAAACTTGTTTAAATTATTCTCCTCCACCAAATGGGCATATTGCCACACCGGATCTTTTCTATTACTTTCCGATGTCATTTTCTACTTAGTACTTACTACACAACACAAAAAATAAATAACAGAAAAACAATTTCAGTATAATGAATTTAATGTATGTTATGTGATGAATTAATTAATGTATGTAATGTATGAATCAATTTTCTATTTTTTTAATTAATGATGAATTAATTAATTAATGTACATTACATTCCATTACATTCATTCCTATGTTACATTATTTTTTCAAGAAAAACTTTGACCAACTTATTAATTCATCACATTAATAAATTAATTAACTTATGAATCAATTTATCAATTAATTAATCAATCAATTTTCTATTTTTTTAATCACAACACATTAATCACAACACAATAAATTGATTAATTGATAAATTGATTAATCTTTATTAATCAAATAAATTCTTATTAAATTCTTATTAATCACATTAATCACAACACATACAACACATTAAATTCTTATTAATCACAACACATAAATCTTTTCTAATTAATAAATCAATTTTCTATTTTTTTAATTAACTTATGAATTAATTAATGTTATGATTCAATGTATGTAATGTAATGAATGTATGAATTAATTAACTTATGAATCAATTTTCTATTTTTTTAATTAATGATCAATTAATTAATTTCAATATAATGATGAATCAATTTCAATATAATCATAATGAATGTAATGTAATGTATCTATTTTTTTTTTTTATGTATGTATGAATTAATTTATTTATTTATGTAATAATCATAATGAATGTAATAATCATTAATGAAAAAAAAAATAAAGAAAAAGAAAGTCGAAAGAAGAAGAAAAAATTAATAATTGAAAAGAAGAAGAAAAGGAATGGACTGAACTGAAGGAAAAAAATAGACTCAAATAATTGAAAAAAAAAGAAAAGGAAAAAAAAA